GGGCCGACCCTGGAGCTGATATCTCACTTTGTTGAGATATTTTGCTTTCGGTTCTTATTTCCTTTGTGAAATGAGAATTTCGTTATGATCTAATCTTTTGTGGTGCACTTTGCGCACCGGATGTGCTGTCGAAATTTCCGCTATGCACAACAACATGCTGTTCATTGACCAAAAGAACACAGAACAAGTCATTTAAATTTAAAGATGATAATCACGCTAACATCATTTCTATGCGTATAGCTATAACCATTAAATTTAATAAAACTACCACAAACTTTTTTAAATTTCACACAACTACCACGAACTATTTTTGTAGAAGAAACGCTAAACGTTTTTTCTTAAGAGAAAAGTACAAAACATGCCTCCATTTCTTTGAGGGAAGGTGTGCATAGGATCACACTTGCATAAGAAAACAATATCAAGTTATTAACCTATGGTTTATACTTATAAAATACAAGTACCTTACTCCCAGTGTAGAGACGGGATTTCTAAAACCACAATTTTCTAGAAACCAGACAAGTGAATATGTCTAGATGATATTATTTTTTAATGAAAGAAATCAAAAGAGTCGAACAATCTTAAAAAAAAGCTTTTATAAAAAATGAGCATAACAGACTTCATCTCATTCAATGTTTTCAGGCAATAACGATCTATATATACATTTACATATGATAGTCGTGGATGGACAGTAGTGCCATAATTGCCATGTTTGACATGGCAGTTCATCACTGATTATTTTCCTAACTGTTTATAGGCATTAACGAGCCTGGGAACTAAGAGGGTGGTTGATGTAGGACAGATCCATATTTGAATCCTGTAGAAGATTTAATAAAGATTTGGTGAAGATTTTATTTGTTTAGATTTTTTTTGTTTTAAAATAACTTAATGCAAACTTTTTTTACTTTAGCTAGGAACTTCTTAGGAATTTATGTTAGGATTTTAAGGATCTTTGAGATTTGATTTTTTTTAATCTTGTTTCCTTAATAGTTGTCTATTGCTTTCTACAAATAAAGATGCAAACGTCATTGAGATGGCAGATTTGATCAATAAAAAAAATATCAGAGATTTAAGACTTGCATGTGAATTGTTAATAGTGTGAAGCCATGGGTGTGATGCCCCGGGTGCGAGGCCCTTAGGTCCGAAGTCTATTCTTTTAAGTAGGGTGTGAAGCCCTTAGGTGGGAGGCCTATCGATCAAAACCACTCCTCTTCATTATTAAAACCTGCGACCATTCCCTTCTCTGGTCAGTCGACCACCACTCAAATCTGTCCTTTTGCTGCATTATAAAGCTTGTGCGTTCCAATCCACCAATCTGTCCCAGAAACAACCCTAAATCACCCCAAGCAGACCCTAAAATTCTTCAGAAATAAAAAAGAACTGCGGATTGATCATGTTCAGATCGATGCCCTCACGACATTCCCCATCAGCGGTTTGATAGAGAACTGGCCAACAAAACTAGGCATAAAAGAGCTATAACAACATCCAAAACCTTAGCCCAGCAAGGTGAGGCATGTAAAGCATGGGGTACGTTTACAGGGAAAAACTTTGTTTAGTTCTAATGAACTAGTACATTCTTAATCCTTACATGCAGTTTGCGAGCATCTAAGGATAAAGCAAGTGCAACTTCTCCCTTAAAACATTCAATTTCCAATTGAACCCAATTTAAAACCTTCCAAGAGGCAATCATGCAAATCCTGCAATCAAGATTCTTCCTGAACTTCTCTTCAACCGCATGTACGTAATATGCGGAATTATCTTTAGACCAACTACGTACCTTTTTACGTGAAAGTAACATCTAATGTACATACTGACACCATGCTCATTAATCAGCAATTATATATCTTTAGCAACCATCTTTAGAGATACTCAACAATCTTATACAGTGAAGGTAACATCAAATTTTTACAAGCTAACACCATGCTCCCTCATGAAATCCATCCATATATATTAGAGGCTCCACAATAGATCATACATGAAAACTTCCCAAGAACCAGTTGTGTAATAGACATGCTTAAATCATACACGACATGTGTATGGCCCATCGCTCTACCTTCTGGGAATTACTGCATATATCAGACATGCTAAAATAAGTGACAATATATGACCATCATCTCCATAACTGAAATGAAGTCGTGGTTCTTTTAGCCATCAAACGTTCACTGTATAAGTTTTTACACTGTAACATGGTGGTCTCCATCATTCCTTAACATGTACACAACTTGTGTGCATTAGGTATTAGCATTCTGTAATCATACATGACAAACTTTAAGGTACAAACACGTTGAGAAGCATAAAAGAAAATCCCATAAGAATTGAAGGTGAACAATCTGGCAATACACTTCCTACGGTAACATACAAACAATGAAAACCTCGGACTGATCTTACATCTTGGTGTTAAGACTCAAGGTTTGAATTATTGCTAAGGTCCTTCCATAAAAATATAAAGAAAAAAATAAAAACATAAAGAGAAAAAAAATGTAGCGTTTGGACTACAAGAACATCAACCAACTCTTATTAACAATATGTTATTTTTCAATGGATTAATCTTCTTAGTTGCAGTTATTTAAGTTCAGCGTCTCAGCTCTCCAGGGTGAAAATATAGCTCTTAAATAGAATAACGTATTAACTAGGTTTCAGGTGAGTAAAGAATATATCACGAGCCCTTTTTTTTTAATCAAATCAGAATGAAATAGGCAAAAGAAAAAAAAGCTATTTAAGTTTAAACACCACCAGCATAGATTACTAACATCCGGTCTTTTAAATATCCCAGATTAGGTTTTTTTTTATTAATGTTTTGATGTGCTAGGATCTATCAACAGTCAATAGTAAATCTAAAAGGGTAGCCTTGCAACATTCATGACTATAATGGATAAATCAAGTGCAAATCCAACACTTGAGCCAACTTAAAAATCTAGCTGAGGCAATCATATAACGAGAGAGCAGTCAAAAGATTATCTATACACCTCAATTTCATCCTTGCCGATATGCAAAACTGTTTTTGAAGCTAACCACAATCTATGCCAAATCCTGAAACACAGACAAAATTTACTCCAAAACAATATTTTGTTTGTCCCAGTAACACGTGGCTTTGTGTTTTAATCCTGTGATATTTACTGACTACTTTTAAATGGAGATACCTTGCAAGACATATGCATTGTGTAAATATGGAAATATGTATATGAATCGGTACACAAGAGAAGGAAATAAAAAAAAATCATATACACACGAAAAGAAGAAAAAGAAAAGATGTGTGTGCTGGTGATATATGTACCTATGTATATGACACAGGCTTCATAGATAGAAGCTCAAATATTATACTAATAGAAGATTGAATTAAAAAGCCAATAGAGTGATGTACTTACTACCAAAACTAATGCAAGTTTAAACTCACGATAATCTTCACATCATGAAAAGGTAAACCACCAGAGAGCCTATTCAGGGAATTGATAAACACCAAAGTGGATTCTAAAGCTTGAGAACTGCATTTACCAGCTCTAATGCCATGAAGTGCAGTAGCTAGTGGTTGAAATAGTCTTACTAGAGAAGAGATTACATAAAACTAGAGGCCCTATATCAGCAGCCAAGAGGAAGTAGCTCGAGAAATTATCATTTGAGCATACCACGACGACGAAATAAACAACCACCATCGGAAAACATATATTATGAGTATACTTTGTGATGTATGTAAATGCAGTAAGATGCCATATACGAATGGACTAAGCATATGCGCAGCAGTCATCACAACCCCGCTCACATCTTCTCGAATCACATATACGAATGGGTGATCAGCGACAAAATCCACAGCATCGACCTGCCTTCTAGGTTGCCTCTGCCTACCACAATCATAAGGCCCCCAATCTTTAGTCCTAATTGGAGGCCAAACAAACCCCTCCCTTTAATGAAGTTCACCCCTCCAGTTCCAAAAGGGAACCCTGAACTCACCAACATCTACTATCTCGGACGAAATGTGTCTATCTAAGAAACACACATCCAAGCCCAGCTTCTGCTCCAACTCCCATATACCCTATCGTTTATCCGGTAAGAAGATGTACACGGCAAACACCCTCGGATGGCTTCCTCTCTTCGAAGGAACCCTGAGCACTATAAACCCATCATAACAGCTGATACACTGTCGAACGTTGGTCGTCATTAGAGACACAGAGGCGGGCACGGGCACGCCGTTAAGTCTGTAGAATCTGGCGTGTTTGTTCTTGGCATTCAGCGGGTAGAATTTGTCTGCCCAACCACCACCGAAACTGAGGGCGCTAAGAACAAGTAGCCGAGTATCTGCTCCAACAGCTGGGTAGAACAGAAGCAGAGGCTCGCTCAATAGATATCCGCCCACATTGTCGAACCACTTGTTCGCTTCATCTACCAGATTCACAGCCTAAGAACAAGAGAAAAAACAACTCTGGTTTATTTCACTCCAGAATCATTCTTCAGCCGGGAGTGCACGTTGAACTTTAAACCCAATTATAGCAGTATGTTGGCCATGAGTCATATCATATAACTTGATATTAGTAGCTTCATACAACGTCATTCATTACTATACGCTATAAATCATGTACTGATACTTAGTTGCCTTATTCGCTAAAAGACCTAGGCAAAGTGAAACTTGAATATTAACAGGATTTGCCTCTGTATTTGACAAATCAAGCGCACACGCTTTCTTCTTCTGTAACATTCGACGCCACTTCTTGTAAAATCTACTTGTATCCAAACTGATTTGCGAATCGTTTTGCAATAAGTGGTTTAGTTTGACAGTTACAGCTATAAACATAATATACAATTATAAAGAAAATAGCATCTGCAACAATAAATGTCTTTTTGCAAGATAATCAATGTCTTAGTCGAGAATGTCATGTAGAGAGGAGCCTAATCTTTGTTCATCGATGGTCACTGCAGGAAAGTCCATATACTACAATTTTTTTTTTGAAAAATAAAAACTGAATGTGCTCGGAGAGAGTAGACTGCACAGTATAGAGCCATTTGCACTGATAAACATCAAAATCTCAAATCACATGTCAGTTTTCAGCAACAAAATTTGTTTACATATATGAAATAAATGCCAAAAATGTTTCCAATATAAACATAATGACTGCAGATACAAGTATTCAGTCTATTGTGAATCTGGCTTGCGTTCAACATCACAAACTTGAATGCTCCACGAAAATTATGCATCGCATATATACTTTCTTCAGTAGCAATTAGTGCAACTGTACAGATTCCTGACAAAAGTTATTTAGTACACATGGCAAATATGACATAGATCACTATTTTCTGCATAGCTCTTCATTCAGGATCCATGGGAACCGATTCAATAATCTCCCTAGCACTTCCTAAGGCAATCCTTCCATCCTCGTTGAGATTGACATCATCAAGCTCTCTTCCAATTCGTAAGTAAATCTCTTGTAGAGTCCTTGACACAAGTTTAAGTTCTTTCCATGATGAATATTCCTTGCCTAACAACTTCATACATGTGAAATTCAGCAGACCTAACACCAAACCAAAATCTGTTCCTTCCATCATAAACAACACGCCTCTCAAAAGAACATCACTAACAGCATCCAATACTCTCGGATTACCTTTCTTTAGCAAAACAATCACTTGCTCCGTAAGCTTTCTGAATGCTGGAGCCTTGTGTTCGGAAACATTATCACTCTCCTCTTCACCCTGCTCTTTTCCCTCCTCATTACTGCGGTGTTTGAACTCGTATAGGCTGGAAGTACAGTAAGATCACCTGAACTCGCTGTGCCCTGATATTCTCTTGCTTTGATAAGTTGTTGAGAGCCTAAGGCGAGTACAAGAATAGGCAGCCATGGCTTCGCAACAGAAAGAATATGTGAAGCATACTTTGAGCCTAGAGATGATTCAATAGAGACAATGAGATCTAGAAGGTCATTGGCAAGATCGAAGACTTCTCTTGGCGGGGCTGAAGATTCACTAGAGTTTTTTAGCACCAAATGCAGTAATTTGGACGCATATGAGAAGGAGCTCTTAAGAAATACCAATACGTCCTTTAAATCCTCTTCCTCAAATGCTGAAGTCTCATTCTGTTGGCCTCTAGTGAATGAGACAATGTATCTAGCAAAAGCCGAACCAAAATTCAAACACTTAACATGGTTATGGGTAATGAGTCCAACAGCTGCAGCATCAGCAATTATCTTAAGAATTGCAGTAGCCATCTTTGCAACATTCTGCATTACTTTCACCGCTGGAAGATCAGTTTTGGCCTCACCACCTAAGTACAAAAACAGATACTGAAATGGACATTAACAAATAAATAGCTAAGGCAAGAAAATAACAAACGAGCATGATGAGTATCAATCAGCACATTCAACAACAGGGTAGTACTTGGGGCTATTATGCTTCGCAGAAGGCAGAACACAATAGTTTGTAAATATTCCTTCTTCCTCATTATCCTTGTCATTATCTAAATCCTTTACCATTACAACGGGTTGGGTACAAAGCACAACCCAAAAGTTAGAGAACACCAGAAAATGAACTTAGTGTTTATGACCAGCTAGAAGTTCATGACTTTGAGGCAATTTCACAGGCAGCAACGAGCAAGCACAAGCAGTTATATAGATTTTAAAAGGCATTTGCATGCAGCTAGACCTATTATTTGTGGTTGCATAAATGGTATTTAAGCTCATGCAACTAAGGAACAATCCTCCAGACCTCCCTAAGCTAGGAAATACTCAAGAGCAAGAGGTAACATGATAAAGTGGCATAGGGAATGGCATCTACCTCATTGCCAGAACATATAAACCCAACGAGCCCACGTCTGCAATTTCCAAGGAATATGTGACAATTAATATTAGGATTTATGTAAATTACCTTCTGTTGGGCCCGATGCACTTGATAGAGCTTCCTTGTGTTTTCTTTTATGTCGGCGCTCTGTGCTTCTTTTCTGCTTAGAACTTGAAGGTAGGCTGCTAGATTTTCCATCAACGAGCTCAGTAAAGAGTTTCTCAGCACAATTGAGCAGGTGGCCCAATGAATCCTCCATTATTGTTAACTAAGAACCAAACAAAATCAGGAGAAACCAAAAGAGGTAGTGAAAATAAGCAGAAGACGGATAGTAACAGTGTAAGTATGACCTATGCGAGCATATATGTGTGTCTAGCAACATTTTAAATATTGGTTATCGGAAATATATCGGACGGCCAAATTTCATATCAGATCCCAGTAATCAACAAGGATAAGTAGTAAAAATCGAAATGTCCTATCAAATGATGAGCATAAATAATATAATATTGTAAAATGTAATCTAAGCACATCTAATGAAATAACGAGAGAGGGTCTTCGAGAGAGGTTGTCAACAAAGGTCTTCGGGCGAGAAATTTGCGAGCAATTTGGGGGAGAGAACAGTAAGGCGGAGAGAATTAGGGCTACATGATGAGTGGATGTAAAAACTTACAATACTGTCCAAATATTCAAAACCCTACTTTAAGCATAACAGTATAGCATTAAGTATAAAATCACTGCAATTTTTAGTCAAGCTATAGAGAATTTAAGTAAGATAACATAACCAGGCAGTAATAACCTGAAAAAAGTGCTACGATCATACTATTGCACTAGTAAAATATATTTCTTTAAAACAAGTGACCTGTTAGTACAAGTCAAAAAGATATGATCTGCCTGAAAATTTAAAACTCTCTTTTAGTATGGCATTACTTAGAATTTACAGCAGTTCTATGTACAGCTAATCATTATAGAGAATTATGGTCAGATATCAAGATTGAAAATGTTGATCTTTCTTTTAAGTTCATGTGAGATGATAAACATGTTTCCTATGATTCCAATCAGATGCCATTTCAGCGTTCTAGGATATATGCTGTTCAAAAATTATTTAATTTGAATATTTGGTCTCAAATCTATAGGTGTTCTTGTCCATGTAACTTTCTTCCTTTTGTTTTAAGATTTGTGTTGGTGATCAAGGCTATCTTTGATATGTGGGCCTTAATGTGTATCACACACCAATACAATTTTCATGCAAAATGAAGGGAAGTTAGGTGGACAAAAGCTCCTATCCACTTAAGTGGATTGTAGCTCAACTCCCTTATATGTACATATAAATCATATCATATCCATCTTCTGATTGCTCATGTAAATGAACTACCATCTCTCTACACTCAAACGGCCCTACGGGAACTAAACAATCTCTCTCCAATACCCTATCCCATTTTTTTAAAAAAAAACTCTAGGACCAAAACCAACATTTTATCTCTATATCTCTGCACTAAACAACCAAGAATTTAAGAACCTTCAAATTTCTCTGCCCATGGCCATCTTTGTTCCCAAATCAGGAATTAACATGTTATCATCATCATCCAGAAAAGATTGCAGATATATGAACATAATGCAGGGTTAAGCATATGAGATCTAATTTCTTGCCACCAGCCAGTTGCCTTATTCATCATTGATGTCGCGGTGGTCTTCACCTCACATCAAAGTGGTGGTTCTCACCACAGGAAGATTGTGTTGCATCGTCATCAGCCGAAAGGTCCTGTGGATCTAAATATGGTAGAGGGTGAACTAAGGGTTTAGGGTGCTGTTCTAAGGAGAAAAAAGATCTTTTAAAATGAATCAAGGGGGAGAGTGTTGTAAGGAGATAGTAGGCTGAGATTGCAACCGTAAAAATGTAATTAGATAAAGGGTACCCATGCTTAACCTGAGTTTTGGACATTTACAACAGGCTAACCTGAGGGTTGAAATATTGAAGACAACTTCAAACAGGTCTAATATGTTGTTAGGATCCAATATCCAAATAGAAACTTGTGAGGAACTATTACCCAAATAAATATTTCATAGGGAATTATATATAATAGAAAGGACTACTACTCATTATTTGGACTGACCGCCTCAACAATATTTTTCAACTAAGATATTTGATTACCTTGACTTAAAACATTCCAAGCCATATCCTACTGTATTCATTGTTTCCTTCTCTCGCATCCTATTTTAATATCAACATTAACGACCACCACCCCCTCCTCCTAAAAAAGAAAACAAAAAAACCCTTTTGCAAATTTATTAAGGTACCAAAAGTATCTGGTAAATATTCCTTCGAAGTAATTAATACACCATTTTCAAGCAAACCCCAAGCATTCTCTTAAGCGTGCAACCAATACTTGACACAATTGACATAAAAGGACAGTTAAAAGCAATGAACAAACATTGTAAGGCATCAAATAATGTTGAAGATGCATACTATTGGGCTGGGCAACCCAGAACTAGTCAACCGACATACATGCCTGAGTTTCTCACGTTACAAACATGATCTGTTTTAAAGAAACCTGAAATTTATAAATAAGTAACAGGCAGCCTGTTCCTCTTTTATCACCAAACCCTCCCTTTCAAGAAGTCATTCTTCTCAGTTTCCTTATCAATCATTTAAACAAAGGGAAACTTAATCCTTCCACACTCTTACAAGCCCATTTCACAACTATCATGCTTTACATCGCCAGGATATTTCCCATGAGTTACTTCAGACTTCAAAGTGAAACGCTATCAAGGACTTGTCATAAAAGAATCATAAACCAGCAGAATGAGAGTAGAATATTAGTTGACAGACCAAGAAAAACTAATGGCATATATGAACATAGGTAGTGCCTCTTTATAGTATGCATCCATGCATGCACTAATATTCAAGTTACTGAAGTTTCAGCACATTTATCATGTAATATCTTTAATAAAGTCCAAACTGTGTGTAGAAAGACTTGTAGTTTCTAATTACAATTCAATATAATATTCATTAGTGACAATGAGCTTAGCCAGTGAATATATTTTGTTTGAGCAAATAAGTTTAGCAGGACTGCAACAAATACATGCAAGTACCAGAAATTAGAAATATGATGTTAAGAGACAACTCTTGTAATAAAAATTGAAAAAACAATAGCAACACTATTGCAGGCCTTTTTAATGAGTGCAGACAAACTTTTGATTAATCTGATAGTAGGCATATTGTGCCAAAAACATAGTTAGGCCAAAACAGCATCACACAGATGATCAACAGACATTCAAAGTGTAGTATATACTAAATAGACTAAACATACATGCAACAGGAGTGGACAAAAAGGTACTGTGAGTGTGAGTAGAGGCATGCATAGCCATGCCTATTAAACGAAGGTGTAAAGTTGGCGAAAGAGCTCACCTTTGAAGGCATACTAACACATTGTACGTTGTTATTGTCATCACCGCTAGTTGTGTCAGCATGATGTAGAGACATGTGCATGGCAAGAGCTATGTAGGCCGTGACAGCTGATGTGTCTACGAGTTCACAATGCGAACATAGGTCAATGCTTACCTGGGAAATAATCCTTAGAGCAAAGTATGTAATTTCCAGGTTAGGAGATTTTAACAATGAGTTCCTTGCATCTTCACTGACAAGCAAATCTTTCAGTTGCCAGGCTGCTACAGCTGCAATAAATAGATCATCCTTGGTTCTTGACAAATCAGTATTGGGTGTTTCTTTCCCGTTAAAATGACCTAATCTCTCTGGCGTTCTCACGGGCATTTTAGTTTTAATTTTTTGCAAACGATGCGCCACTTGTTGTGGGAGTTCCAAGTCAAACTTGTTAAGAAAGCCAGAAGCAATAGACTGCAAATTATTTGTTAATGCTCGAAACAGTTCATCAAACCAACCATAAGAAAGCATAAATCTATGGCCTGCTCGTATAAGTGCTTGTTTTTCAACATTCTCAGAGAGTCCTGTGCAATCCATTATTGAAGCAATACACAAGTCACGGAGTCCGCCTAGATCATCTAAAGAAAGAACTGAAGCAAGGGTGAAGAGTGCAGTCTGAGCACAAGGAGAAGCTGCAGCAGTAAACAAACGCTTCAACTTTGTACTCGGAAACAACTCACCAAGAGCTTTCTTATTAGACAGGTCAGATGATAAGCTACAGCAAATATTGGCTGAGGCAACAAACAGCCCATCAATTTGATCAGAATTTAGGCCCTTAGGAGAAAGAGCCAAACTTACAGAAATCCTAAGGAGCTCTAAGAGCGACTTAGAAGACGATCCTTCTGATAAAGCAAGTTCACAAAACCTCGCACCTGCAGTAGGAGACCTTTTTATGAGTGCAATGCAGCGACCACATGCTTCAATCAAATTCATCTTAGCTGGAAAATATGAAGGGATCAGTAGCCTGGTAATTTTTTGGGCAACACGCAGATGATCATTTGCAAGTGAGGATAATAAAGCATCTAAACCAACCACCTGAAAATATAATCAAAGAAATTAACGAACAGAAACAATGAAGGTGCAGATAAAACCAGCAACACATCTAGTAGACCTTGCATAAATTAGTAAAATTCATCTGAAATCAAATACAATAAATATGTGCGAACAGAAACAATCAAGGACTGGACAAATCAAGTAAACATCCGATAGAGGCTACTTAATTTTGATGAACGCTGCTGAAATCAAACATAATGAATAGGTAATAGAGTAAATTTTCAAACATAATTAAAGAACCATACCTTGTTAAACTGGAATGTCCGAATGTCTCTGATAGCTAAAAGAAGATCAGTAACAGCAAGGCGAACTGAAAGTGTGGGATCAGAGAGCATGCAACCCAATCTGGGAAGAAGCACTTTCATAATTTCATGGCTCTGTGGATTCTCAAGCAGATAGATAATTCCATTCACTGTCGATAACCTCACCTCATTGCACGCATCAGTTGACATGCAGTCAATAATTTTTTTCAAAATCTTTGTTATTATTGAAGAAGGAATGACTTCCCAAAATAAGTTCAAAATGCGGCAGCAGCCTTCAACTGCAACTGCCCTTACATCGGGGCAATCATCTAGAAGAAGTTTTTCCAATAAAAAGAATTGCTTGTCCAGCAAGGTGTCTTTAACCTCCTTTGTGACTTCGGGATCTTCGAGTGGAAACAAATCCAAAAACAGATGCAGTGCATTTTGGCGAACATCAGAGTTTGCAGCCTGGAAGCATATAAGAATTAGAAAATGTCATTTTATTTTCTGTACAACCTGCATTGTACCATTAGAAATCCAACTGAGAAGGTCTCAAGAGATAGTTAACTAGAAAAAAAAAGAGCATACATGAGCAGTAAGGATTCAATTAAGGGTGAATTTGCAAACTACTTCAGTGGGAATGCAGCAACAACTTCTATGAAGGTATTTTCGGGTTTAGAGTTAAGAGATGTAGGAATTGTGTTTTGTAGAAGTGGAGTGCGATGAAATATTACCCCCTCTAGGCTAAGGCTAAGTTCACCCAAGACCTGGAATTGTACCTCTACGCGCTGGGTGAAATTTGCATAAACATTTTCATAGACGGCAATATGATCTACGAGTCTCGCACCTCAACTCTTGAAATATGTGTTCACAAAAATTAGCTTTAGCTCTAGGTTGACTCGTGTTACCAAATAAGCCAAAGAGAATTGATAATTGCCAGGCCAGTTCTTAATAGGCTATACGCATGATAATTAACTTATAAAGTCATTCCTCAGTATAATATTTCATACCCTCCAAAATCACAGCCCGTTAATTGTATTAATTTATGCCCATTCCTCAGTTTCTTCTTCTAACTATGTGGACTTTCACCTATGTGCGGACGATTGTAACATTGAAACTAAAAACACTCTCAAAATCAATGAAGAGAAAAATAAAAAAACATAGGCACAACTGATCACCTGAAGCGACCGAAACAGCAATGGCTCAGAGAGGCGGAAAAGAAGCTTCTCCACGCCTTCAGTAGCCCTCTTCTCAATAAATCCACCCAAAACTCTCCTTATCGAAGCTGCAAGCGACTTTGAACTCGCATGAACAGCTGCATCAATGAGCCCCTGAACAAACCCGTCTTCAATCTCATCTCTCAAAAAACCTTCACATCCCTTCCATGACCTAAACAGAATATCCCCATAAGCCTCCAACACCGACTTTCTCCCAAAGGGTATCTGCGACTTAATCAAAGCTAAAGCTTCCTTAGCTAACTGATCATTCAACCCCAACATAAAAGCAATAAACTTTCTCCCTTCATCAGTCTTCAAATACACCGGAGCAATAACACAACGAACAAGCAAAAGTCTCATGTCTTCAATACTCTCATCAACGTAATCGAACAACAGAAAAGCTTCACGAAGCGCATAAACCCTACGAACATCCGATTTCTTACCATTAGACAGCGATTTCGAGAGGAAAAAGGGCAGGGATTGTGGGACCAACTTCTCCCTATCCAAAAGCTTCTCTTTCCACCACTCTTCACAAAGACTAGCAACTAAATGAAGAAGCACTGGGTCCATTTCATAGAGCACGAGGCTATCATGCAGCAACTGGACAGATGGGAGGAGCTCCGAAGCCAAAAATGGCTTCTTTGGGTGTGAAATCATCTGGTGAGCGATGAAAGTGTAGCATTGAAGCTTTTTCAAGTGATCTAGGGTATTCGAGGGCTCGTCGGAGCTATTTCTACGAGATGAGCGGCGAGCTCGCTTCGATGGAGGCGAGACCGAGGCTCTAGCGGGAGATCTTGAGGCGACGTCTTGAGAATGGAGGGATTTCTTGAAGGAATCTAGGGTTTGAGAGACGAAGAGGTGAAGGGATCGAGGGAGAGTGGAGATGAGATGGGATGAAGGAGAGATGGTTGAGATTAGGGTTTTGAGAGAGGATTTACCTTGTTTGGTGGAGAATTGGGCGGGGACTGAGGTGAGGAACTCGTCGGCAGTGGATTGGATCGATGATCGGAGCTTTCTCCCCATTGGATTTGATCTCGAATGGATTTGGGAATTCTAGGGTTTGAGAGAGAGATTTGAGGGAATTTTCGAATTGGAGGCTGTTTTGGCTTTTGGAATTTTCGAATTGGGGCTGTTTTGGATTTTGGCGCTCTACAGATATTGACTGTTGCTGATTTCACATCCCAAAATATAAGGGCCTGTTCGTTTGTTTTCAAAAAAGCAAGAAATGGAAATGGAAATAGTGGAAATCTCAAAATAATCTATTTCTTCCATTTTCATCCCTAAAACTCACCCACAACATCCAATAAAATATTATTTTCATCCAACAACTTATCCACATCATCTAATAAAATATTATTTTCATCTAACCACTCATCCACCACATCTAATAAAATATTATTTTCATCTAACAACTCATCCATCACATCTAATAAAATATTATTTTCATCCAAACATCACTCAACTCATCTCTTTTTATTATTTCAAATCACTCACATCATCGAATAAAATATTATAACAATTCACTTCATCTCATTAACATTTCATTTCTTCCATTTCATCCCAAAAAGTTGTGAAAACACATTTCTTAATCTTTCTTCACATCAACCAATAATACAATGACAACTCATCTCATCTCATTTCATTTCTTATTTTTAAGAATGAACCGAACAAAAGAAAACAAGAAAACTACAGAAAATAGGTTTCTTATAATTCATTTCCTTATTTTTTTCGCCAACCGAACAACATCAAAACTAGTTTTCTTAAAAAATCACTCACATCATCCAATAATAATGTGACAACTCATCTCATCTCATCTCCATTTCTTTGATTTCCTTTTTTTTAGCCAACCGAACACTCCAAAACAATTCTTCATTTTCTATTTCTTTGATTTCCCATTTTTTTAAGGCAAACGAACAGGCCCTAAGATGAGTCTAAAAATGGTAGAAATATCAATTTTGCCTATAAAGTAATACAATCTAACTAATAAGGTCTAAAAAGTGATTTGAACAACAAAAAGACCTATAAAATAACCCACTTAACTATATAAACATACTCCAGACTTCAGAATCGGGCGGGAATTCAAGCACGTGATATCATTGTTATCGAGTCGTGCGCGTCAGGCGCCAGGCGCTGAGGCCTGCAGCAAACACGTCCCGCACCAGAGGTAGGGCGTTGCAGGCATGCGAGGCGCGCGCCTTGTGTGCGCCCGTCGGGCACATCGACTCACTGTGCCTCAGCTGATGGTGCGCAGTGAGTTGGGTTGTTTTGAATTAAACAGGTTTCGGGTCTGGTACCCGCATATTCTCATTAAACTCTTTTCGTCTTAGGGTTTCAAGCATCTCTCTCACATCACAGTGGTTGCTCCTTAAGGCTCAAACTCTCACTGTCCTCACTCCCCGACCCCAACTTGTCGGCCGTCCGCTGCCACCGACGTATAGTCGGGTTAGGTTTTTTTTTCAGTTTTTCTTGTTTTCTTCTTTTTTTTCTTTTTGAAAATAATTTATATGATTACATATTTACATCATGTAATAGACTTTTTTTTTCCATATTAGACTCTTTTTGAGAACTTTGTTTATGCAAACCTTCACTTAATTGTTATATTGCATTGTAATTTGTGGAAACTTATGAACTTCTCTATGTTATGCATGCTAATTAAGAATCTTTCATGATTTAGTAAGTGAAATTATATTTCTTAGTATTTTTATGTGATAATTTATAAACATGTTGCCTATATGCTTCTTTGTCTTATGTTGAAAAATATTAGTTTGAGTTGTGCGCCTCAATTCAGTGAGGCGAGCGCATCATTGTGCACCTTACACATGGTGCGCGTAAGGGACCTTTGCGCCCCGCATTGCGCCTTGTGCCTCGATAACACTGTGTGATATCACGTCATCATGCGGTTGAACTCTTTCCTTGTTAATGTGGTAGGGGGCTGCTGACATGTTGAGTTAGTTGGGTTTTATTAAAAATGAAGGGGGTTGAAGATTAGGGATCACATGAAATTGGGGATGAACCTAGGGGTTTTAAAATTTTGCTCAAATTGGTCGAATTAATCTCGTTGGCTGCCCCATAGCTTCTTCGATCTCGAGCTCATGATCAATTACTACGAAGATGGCATGAAGCAGCTAGGCAACGTGAGATGAAAAAGTGTCGTTGTGGGTTGGAGTGTGAGTTTTACACATCAATGACAGATGATAATTTAGGGAGGAGATTCTATAAATGCCCAAATTACACTGTAAGTTAAAAAATTTATATTTTTGAGTTTTTTAGTTATTATTTATGTTTTTTCCTTATTCAGAGGGATGGTTATAGGATGTGGAAGTGATTTGACTTACCCCTTTGTTTAATGGCATCTCAACTTGTGCCACTTTTGAGAAGAAATTAGAGAAAGAGCAACAAATTGAAGGCCAATGAGAGGAAAGTTGAAGAATGTGAGTTAGACCTAAGCAAGTTGAAGGAGGACGTTGAGCTTTTTCAGGGTGAAGTTGAGTCATGTGTAGAAGAGATTATGAAATTGAGAAGGGGGGTAGAGTAGCATTCAAGTTGAAGTTGAGAAGCAAAAGCTGAAGGTGAGATTGTACTGTAGGATTATTTTGACTTTTTTTTGTCATAATGTGCTTGTGTATGATTATAATTGTATAAGTGGAAGGACGATTGTGATGACTTCATGAAGATGTATTTTTTAAAAATTTGATCAATTTGAAATTAAATTGGCAAGGTTTTTAGATACGTGCAAAACTAGTTCTTTAAATGTGAGATGTTTATGTGGCAATTGTGTACTTAGAAATGTGCACTATGTATCAGTTCATGTAAAATCATGCAAACATACCACTTATGAATATAACATGCACATACATATACATAATGCACATATCCTATCAATTATTATGTGCTTCTAGTAAAAAATTGTGAACACACATTTCAAGCTCAAACCATGTTGTATTATGTACACATACATGGCCATACACATAGACATATATAGAATATCATTTAAACTCATGAATTAGATTGATAAACTTTCACAAACCCTGACAACCAATGCATTGAGATGCATAGAATCCCTATCAAATTGTAATCTTTAAGGTGCACATAATTGTCATAAATAAAAAATAAATGTACATCAAAGATTGTATTGTCTTACATTCAAAGGAACTAAAACATATCAGCATATACTACTTTACTCTAGCACTTGAGAATCATTTTGTGAAGCAGCTATAATTGTAGGTTAGGGTTGACTAGGTCCGCCTCTATACACATTTCACTATTCTCTCCTTGCCATAATCCAAACACATCGGGGATAATTGGTTGAGTGATTCTGCACCTACCTCTGCCCCTTCCCCCACTCCTGCCTATGACATGTGACCTACCTCAACTCTATTACCTTTACTTGTAGATATACTCCTTCCTTGAACTCTCTCTCCCTGTCTTTTGGCTCTCCTCTCTATTATTAATGAAGCTATTGTGAGAAAATTGTTCCTTGCTAATTCTTTACCAGATTGCCCAATTACATTCTTGCTTCCTTTAGGCTTGCCAATTTTACTTCCTTGAGTTGATGATGGTCCTTCAGCCGTTTGTTCATTTGTTACTGTAAAACCCCATAAATTTTAAAAATAATATGGTTAATAATGGTAAATGAGTTTTAATTATGATTAATATCATAAAATGATGAATGAGTATGATAAAATCGATTTGAGATTAATTAAGTACGTGTACGTGAGAAAAGGAGTGAAAACATGCACACATGCACGAATCTAGAAAAAATGGTTCACCCTCTGGTCGGTCGACCGATGGTACCCTATCGATCGACCGACTCCTTGCATCCGGTCGACCGACGGGGCATTTTCCAGACTCCCAGTTTGAGTTGGATTTCGGTCTGTTTGGGCTATTTTGGGTTTGCCTCTATTTATACTTGTATTTTTTTACGAAAAATCTCTTTTCCCATCATATTTCCAAACCCTAGCAGCCCCTCTTCCTCTCTCTCAAACTCTAATCATAGTTTGTGAGATTTGGGAGAGTTCTTGAGGCGTTTGTCGAAGGAAGGTGGGATTTTACCACTTTGGTGAAGAGGGATCTTGCATTCACATGTTCAGGAGTTCAACACGACGTTTGAGGCAAGATCATCTTTCTCCAAACCTTTCCATGTAGTTAATTCATTATTTAAGATGTTTAATTGATGAATCTCATGTTAAGACTTAACCCAATGTTTTAAAATCTTAGTTTATGATGTTAATCTTTAAACTAAAGTTCTGTAGATTTAGTTGCTGTTTATTTTAGTTTGATGATCATGATCATTAGGGTTGCTTTTATTTTTGTTTTAATTTATTAATCATGTTTAAATCATATTTAAACCCTAGTTTAATAATTATTTGAGTTTTCTTGCTAATTTAAGATGTATAAACCCTAGGTTTGTGATACCTAAGTGATGTGAACGTGTTTAAATTATTTTATATCTGTTCAATGATTAGTTCCAATCATGCTTAGTTAATCATGTTGATAATTTATGTTTTATTTGAGAATGCTTAGTTAATCATGTTGATAATTTATGTTTTATTTGAGAAATTTTGGTTAATTGAGATGCTAAACCCCAATTAGTTTAATTCAAGTGTTTATATCATGAAGAGTTAATTCTTGTTAAGTAATTATGAAAGATTTAATCTTTTTATATGCCTCATGTTGATAAAAATAAGTTTTTAAATAAAGTTACAAAATACAAAACATCAGAAACCTAAACTTGTGTTTTCCTCTCTGGCTAGTCGACCGACCAAGACTAGCCGGTCGACCGGTGAAGCCCTGAGCGTGCACATCGTGTGCAAGGTTGCTTTTGGTCGACCGACGTCCTAAGGGCGATTGACCGACGTCCTAAGGGCGGTCGACCAATCTATGTTCTCTTTGTTTTTGAGTGGTTGTTTTTACATCATTTGACTATGAGTGCGGGGTTCGAGCTGCACGATGACACACATACGATCATGAGCATACATGAATAGTGCTATAGCACACACATAGATATCATGGAGAGGATTATTACAGGTATTGTTTTCAACCACACTTGGGATATGGGTTATTTAAACATTTATATACATGTGTGGATATCGTTGATGAGCACCGCTTAGTACTACTTGGGATAGTGCGTCGATATACC